TTATACTCAGTACATTCAAAGAGACATCTGCAATAATGTAGCCAGCCAGATGTAGCAACCACAGAATCCATTCCATAGTACGACAATGCTGTTTGTATAGCAGCCCTAGAGAAAAAATTATGGGGATGGGGCAGTGAAGAGAAAAATAGGTTATATTGGTTTTCTTATTGACAAGCCAGAATTATTGAATTATATTAGATTTGGTTTGTATTTTAGTCAATTAAAAAAGGCATGGCCTTTTTAAAATAGACCAACTAAATGATCCAGTACAAGATTATAGGAAGAGAGGGGGACAATTACATTGGGGTTCCTATTTCTGTTCGATATATGCAGGTAATAAAACATTTTGCACCAAAGTCTGGTGAAGTCATTGCATGTAGTTCATTTTACTTTGTTAAACTCATGGCCTTTGGCTAGCTAATGAATAAAGTTTGAGTCTGGCATGCCACAGAAGTTTGACAAAGCTATAAGCTCACTTATCCGTTAACCTTCCATGGCTCTGTCCACCTGGGTGTCCAGATGTAGTCTCCGTTGTACATGACAGTGTGCAGCAACTTAGTGAGAGCCAGGTCAAATGTCCAGGATACAGCGGCTTTTTTGAAACAAAATTCAGCCAACGACCGGGAAGATACTTTCTGGTAATGTCCAAGGAATGGCTGACCTTATTGAGAGGGCCTGTATAAATGAGACAGGCAGAAAGGAACTCTCCAGATAAGCTGCATTTTAATTATACAATAGACAGACATCTCAGCCAGTGGCAGATGGACATTCACACTGATGCTCCATCTGCTACTGTAGGAAAGGAGACTATAGATTGATTATGCAGGTGTATTGGAAGCCTTCCTTCTAATGCAAGGACAGTGTGTGGCAATGATTGTGATATATGTGTGCTGCATGAATGGCTACAAAATTCAAAATTTAGGACCACATCCATTTAGGAATTACATAGAGAACAATGTATAGTAAAGACAGAAATATATGGCTCCTTATTCATACTAAATTTAGATTTTGGAGAGATGTGGAGATGGTTTTTTTCCCCAGAGATATGTGGGAATCACAAGGACCCCACCAGGGCCACATGATTCCCAGTCCTGCTATAAAACAATAGTTATAGTAGTCACTTCAAAAAAATGAAAGTTGCTTTTAAAGCTCTGAGCAACACAAGAATGATAAATGGGTCTCAGCTGGAAATTTGATGTGAAAAAAATGATCAGGCAATGATTAGAAAGGATAAAATCAGTAAGTATTCATTTTAGTTCATCAAACTCAATGATGTTGGGAAAAAATCTGAATCTTTTTGAAATTCTGAGATAGAATTAGTCTTGTGAAAAGCACTTAATCAACACTAAACCCACTTAATCAGCACTAAAAATGAAGCCATATTAAAATGTTTTGTCAATGCATACGTTTTATTTATAATTGGAAATTGCACAGACAACTTTGTTTATATGGAGATGGCTGTACAGTGGGGAAAGGACTGCACAGCTTACAAAGTGAATTTTGGGAGGATTTTGAGAATTGAGTTGCCAGAGCAAAATTCTAATTTATGCCGCAACTTTAAAAGCGTAATCACTAAGACTAAGTTAGGACTTTATCACGCGAGGCAAGCAAAAAGGCATAGAAGCTATGCACATCCCACTCCAAAGAAGTGAATGTGTGGGAAGGCTGGGTTGTGATGGTATACAGATATAAAATCCTAGGACCATGCATTGGTGCATTGATTCAATTGCATGAGTGAAGAGAAATGCAGTAATGATGGTCTCTTCATAGAGTTGGAAGAGACCTCGTGAGCCATTCAGTCCAGCCCCCTGCCAAAAAGTAGGATAATCACATCCAGCCTCTGCTTAAAAGCCTCCACCACACTCCAAGGCAGAGAATTCCACTGCTGAACAGCTCTCACAGTCAGGAAGTTCTTCCTCATGTTCAGGTGGAATCTCCTTTCTTGTAGTTTGAAGCCATTGTTCCGCGTCCTAGCCTCCAGAGCACCAGAAAACAAATTTGCTCCCTATGACTTCCCCTCACATATATGGCCATCATGTCTCCTCTTAGCCTTCTCTTCTGAATGGTAAACATGCCCAGCTCTTTAAGCCACTCCTCATAGGGCTTATTCTCTAGACCCTTGATTATTTTAGTTGTCCTTTTCTAGACACATTCCAGTTTTCCACATCTCCCTTAAATTGTGGTGCCAAGAATTGGACACAGTATTCCAGGTGTGGTCTGACCAAGGCAGAATAGAGGGGTAACATGACTTCCCTGAATCTAGACACTAGAGTCCTTTTGATCCAGGCCAAAATCGAATTGGCTTTTTTGCCACCGCATGACATTGTTTGCTCATGTTTAACTTGTTGTCCATGAGGACTTCAAGATCTTTTTCACACATACTGCCATCGAGCCAGGCATCTCTCAGTCTGTATCTTTGCATTTCATTGGTACGTATCCACTATCTATTACCATGTGATTGCAGTGGAATAGCAACTTCATCCAGTATATTCCTTAGGACAGTGGTTCTCAACCTGTGGGTCCCCTAATGTTTTGGCCTTCAACTCCCAAAAATCCTATCAGCTGGTAAACTGGCTGGGATTTCTGGGAGTTGTAGGTCAAAACACCTGTGGACCCACTAGTTGAGAACCATTGCCTTAGGCCATTGTCATTCACCATCAAGATGCCAGACAAAGTGCCTTGTAACACCATAAAGAATCATACATGTGTTACATTTCTTTTGATATTATTGTTCAAATATAGCAAATATTGCTCACTACCACTACCACCATATCCTTCATGGTCTTATGAAAGAAACCAGACCTTGAAACATAATTTGATTCATGCTAGTTTACAACTCTGAACCCTGGCAGGTTACCACTAGAGAATGTTTATTTTCTATCAGCTTCCTTTCCCTTAGGTAAACATTTCAGAGTTCTGGGCAGAGCCTTGTCTTTCCTGCAAATGTCATTTAATACATAAAAAGCTCTCTGATTTTGACAGACTTGGGATGAGATACACAACATGTAATTCCTAAAGTGCCTGATGCCCCATATATATTTATATGTGTCTCCATCACTTTATCATCCACTTAATAGCAGAACAAATTAGTCATACCCTTTGATTCAGTACACATTATGCTGAGACATGCCCACGCTAATATGCTTTCTGATAAAGTAAATGCTTACCCTGTTGGAGTACAAATCTTATTTGGACTCCAGTAAAGTCAAGGGACGCAGAGCTGAGTCTGCAACAGGACTGCTTACTCAAAGAGAATTTGAGATTTATTAGCTGATTTCATTAAATATATGGTTGCCCCCAAGCAGTGAAGGTTGTGAAATGGGGATGCAGCAGCTAACTAGCTGGTATGAAGGAAAGGCAGAACAATAGCATTTAAAAGGAACCCATTTCCAAATGACACTTATAGATGCTTTGCCTTACAGTTAAAGGAGGATGGTAGGAAACAGAACCTCAAGAAGGCTAAACACTCCATGAGCTCAGTTTATAATGTTAGTATCCACTGCATCTAGCATCTTCTTGTGATTTTATGCTACTATAAACAGGGATTGTATTGCCACAACTATTTTTCTAATGTTGTATAAAGAGGAATCTAGTACTTCTTTATAGTATAGTTTTCACTATGCAGTACAACATCATAGTTCTGCCTTCCCATTCAAATGGTCACTCAACTGTTTGCAAAGCTGTTCCAGGAAAGCTCTGTCCTCGGCATGTGTTTCTTATCATTCTTCTTCTCTAACAACACAAGCAAAATACTTGAAATCCAATTTACTAATGCCTTGAAATATCTCCCCAGCTACTTCAAAGATCACCACCTGAAGCCTAACTCTGCCAAGACACAAGTGTGTGCTTTCCACCTATGCAACTGTGAAGCCAACAAAAAATTGAAATATCTTGGTGTCACCTTAGATCGAACACTAGCATATAGGAAACGCTGCTTGAACGCCAAGCATAAAGTAGCTGCATGCAATAACATCCTGCGGAAACTTACTGGCAGCACATGGGGTGCAGACCCAAAATTAATAAGAACATCAGCCCTAGCCTTGTCTTACTCAACTGCCGAGTATGCCTGCCCTGTTTGGCATAAGTCTGCTCATGCAAAGCAGGTGAACATAGTGTTGAATGAAACATGCAGAATAATTACAGGATGTCTTGAACCTACACATGTTGATAAACTCTACAAGATAGCTGGCATTGCCCCACCACCACCACCACCACCACCCACTGATGTGCGACGGGAAGTTGCTGTTAAATGTGAGGTTGAATACTGTGAAAGCTATCCACTACATGGCTACTAGCCTCCTCCCAGTAGACTCAAATCAAGGAAAAGCTTTATGAGAACTACCACTCCTCTTGGCGTCTCCCCAGCAACAACAAGGGTATCCCTCTGGGCAGCTAAACCATGAAATCCCAACTGGATGCCCCCCCACGAGGGTCTTCCTCTAGGGACAAAACAAGAATGGGCAAGAATTCTGAGTCTCTCCCTGAACAGACTCAGAAGTGGAGTGGGCAGATCAAAAAGACAACTCGGCAAAATGGCACTACCTAAAAGAATCCCCCACCTTGTGTGACTGCGGAGCAGAACAGACAACTCCACATCTGTATGCTTGTCCACTATGCCCTGCCTCATGTACAGAGGAAGAATTGTTGGAGGCTACAGACAATGCCATTGCTGTTGCCAGTTTTTGGTCAAAAGATATTTAGCCGACTGTGTACCTTCTATTTTTATCAGTTTTATACTAATTATGCAATGCTTTTGATATGAAATAAATAAATAAGCACAAAGACCCCAAGTAACTCAGGCGTGGGAATACTCAAAGTGGACGGRGCTTATCCACAATGGAGAGGGCCTTAGAAAGGGGGGCTGCATGGAAACTAGAACAGCCTCTCCCCTTGGCTTCCATTCTCAAGGGCAAATGGCAGTAAGTGGAAATGCAAAAGGGTGGGGGGGGGCACAAAACCTGCATCACCTATTCCCAGAAGAGGAATTGGAAGTAGGGCTGCTATAGGAAATTGCAGGGCTTCTTGTCCTTGAAGGAGTTCTTAGAGGCTGGGAGGCCCACTAGGAATGGGTCAGAGTGAGACTGCTGCTTACAGAAGCTTGTCATGTCCAAGGAGGCCTTGGAGACCTTGATGTGCTCAATCCAGGCCTCGATCCGTAGCTGCTCCACCAGCTTCCGGGCCTGGGTGATTTTGTTAGTGGCCGACATGGCTGCCCATCGGCCCCCAACATTCTTTGGCAGAGAAGGCTAAAGTCCCTGTAAAACTACAATTCCCAGGATTCAATAGCATTGACCCATGGCAGTTATAATGGTGTCAAATTCAATTCTACAATGCATATGCAGTCTCTGTGAAAGTCATCCCTTACTCTTAGAGCAGATCTACATTGACACTTTAATCCAATTTGAACCTGGTTTGGGAGGAACCAGTTTCCCAGCACCGTGATTAGATTGTTATGCCTGGGACCAGTTTGTGGCTAGGAAAGTGATTAGATTTACCATGAAGCTTGGCCTCAAACAACTTTACAGAGTCTTTCCCCCCATTTCCGGGAGAGATACGCATCAGTACTCCAGAGGCATAACAGATGGAAAAGAAAGGGAAAGTGACCGGTAGGAGGAGTTCATTAGCTCTCTGCTGCCCAGCTATGCTCCTGGGACATTTTTCAGTAGTCCCCATTCAATATTATTTACTGCGCTTCAGGTTTCTACAATGTGCAGAGTCAATTTCACCCTGGGATCTGGGATACACTGTCATCTACTACAGCACATTTTTGGCAAATATTTTTAATGCATTGCATACCCTTAAATGCATGCTGAAGCATGCATGGGCTACTTGCATTTTGTGGCTAGCATGGTTTGGAGTTGCCTTGAAGATGCATTATAGTGTCAGTGTAGATGAGGTCTTAGAGTAGCGTTTCTCAACCTGGGGGTCGGGACCCCTGAGGGGATCACGAGGGGGTGTCAGAGGTGTCATCAAAGGCCATTAGAAAAAATAGTATTTTCTGTTGGTCATGGGGGTTTTGTGTGGAAAGTTTGGCCCAAATCTATCGTTGGTGGAGTTCAGAATGCTCTTTGATTGGAGGTGAACTATAAATTCCAGCAACTACAACTACAATGTCAAGTCTATTTCCCTCAAACTCCATCAGTGTTTACATTTGGGTATATTGAGTATTCCTGCCAAGTTTGGTCCAGATCCATCAATGTTTGAGTCCACAGTGCTCTCCGGATATAAGTGAAGTATAACTCCAAAACTCAAGGTTAGTGCCCACCAAACCCTTCCAGCATTTTTTGTTGGTCATGGGAGTTCTGTGTGCCAAGGTTGGTTCAATTCCATTGTTGGTGGAGTTCAGAATACTCTTTGATTGTAGGTTAACTACAAATCTCAGCAACTACATCTCCCAAATGACAACAATTAATCCTCAACCCCACCAAATTTGGCCGTATGGGTCTTTATCGGGTATTTGTGCCAAATTTGGTCCAGTTAATGAAAATACATCCTGCATATTGGGTATTTCCATTACAATTCATAACAATAGTAACATTACAGGTACGAAGTAGCAACGGAAATAATTTTATGGTTGGTGTCACCAAAACATGAGGAATTGTATGAAGGGGTCACGGCATTAGAGCCACTGTCTTAAAGAAAGGCCTTTGTAGACTCCAGGCTTCTCTGCATCTCAAGCTCTCACTTTTTTCCAGTTGAAAAACCAGGCCCAACAACAAACAGCATTTGTCAATTTGACTAGAGGGGAAAAGATGCCAATTTACTAGGTTTGACAACTGCAAAGGCAGTTTGGTCATAACCACAACAGCTGACCTGATCATTGCTATGAGAACCAGCAGGAAGCAAAAGTACCACACAACAGGAGTTGCCTCTCAGGGATAAAGGTTAATACACACAATGTACAAACACGTTAAGAGGTTATTATAAGATCCTAGGCTCACAAAGTATATCCTGTCTCTGAAAATTTGAGGTGTTTTTTTTAAAGAAACATATAAATTAATACATGAAACATAACTCACAAAGTAACTGCAAAGTGAACTACCATTGCCCTGAGAACTCCCTTTGTCTATTGTGTTCGCATCACGCAATCAAATGGAGACCTAATACATGATAGCAATGCCTTAAAAATGCAGGGAGTGCCTGCATGGACACATACACACACACACATGCACATACCCCAGAGTAAAATCAATAGGGTGAGGAATGACTCAAACAGCTTGTATTTTCACAGTAGTAATCAAAAAGTAATTTTAGATCCAATAATTTGTATTGATTGTTTGTGAAACTGTAACACATTATGCCAGAAGCCTAGTTGTGTGGTTATAAATATGTGTACCATTTTGTTGGACTTGTCTTTTAGTTATTGAGTTTTATATTCTTGAAAAGAATCTTATTTTATGTTGTTAATTCAAGGGGGCCAGGTGCAGCTGCATGGACATTATTTCAGTAAGGACTTTGAAGTCTTGCGATCAGATCTATTTCTTCATTTGCACAGAGAACATTAAGGAGGCAGACTATTTAAGGGAATAGACATTCACTGGGTGCCACTGGAAAGCTGACTTTGCTATCGTCAAACATTTCTGACCTTCTAGCGCCCCTTCCACACAGCTGTATAAAATCTGCACTGAACTGAATTATATGGCAGTGTGGACTCAGATAACCCAGTTAAAAGCAGATATTGTGGATTATCTATCTTGATATTCTGGGTTATATGGCTGTGTGGATGGGCTCTAGAATATGTTCCACTAACCTAGTACCTGCCAGATTGGAAATACCAATCATGGATAAGCAATCTGGAACTGTAGTGTACACATCTACAATTGTCCTCTCTTTTTCATTTCTATGTTTGGTCTATGCCCAGCTCCATGAAGGTGGTGTGTTTTTGCTTTGGCCATTTAATTAAATCCATCTCTTTCTTTACTTATTAAAATTATGCATTTAAGCATGGGCATTGTTTGCATGCATTTCCTTATTGAATAAAGCATGTTTAAACGAGATTTTGAATATATTTGGACTGAGAAAATTGGTTTGAAGAAACATACTTCATACATTCCTAATCTGGAGAACACCAAATTTAAGGAAGGTGCTGCAGCTAGTCTAAATAGTAGTTCACTAATTGTCAGCTGAGGCCCCGCACACATAGCTGCATTAAATTCACATTGAACTTGATTATATGGGAGTGTAGACTCAGATAATACAGTGCAAAGCAGTTCACAGTAGAGAACAGATACCCATAAGAGACTTGAGCCCAGATCCATTTTTGTCATTCCCTTCAGCCAATCTAGCTTCTTTGGTTTGATCTGGAATCTGTAACAGCAAGGGCCCAGCTGTCACGGATTCCCATCTGAAAAGGGACTACGTGGCAGCTGATCATGGCTCCTCCTCCCCTATTTGGCATCACAGTTGATTTTCCTTTATTTTCCTGATTCCTTTTATTTAGTGGGACTGACTGAGAGTTGGGGACCTAAGGGACGGTGGGTGTGGTGCACGTACACACATTTGGGGGCTTGGAGAGTCACTTTTATAGCTTATTTTTCTCCTTACCTTCCTCTCCTTCAGAAGAGGAAGGTAAGGTGTGGTCAAACAATGCCTCCAGTAAAAGAGGATTAACTCAAGACAAAGCAAGAAAACCCTGCTTTATCCTGAATGTTTTAGATAGCCCATTAGACCAGCATCTTTGTGAAAGGCCCAGGGTCTGATGGGCTATGGCCCTGTAGGGACAGGCCCATGGGGAGTCCTGGGATTTCCCTGGGGTCTGTCCATACAGCCACCTTGCACCCTCTGGTTAGTGCTAGTGACATTGTGAGATGGGTCAGGTGGGTGCCTTAATCCCCTACAAAGCATTGTTCTTTTTGATATATTTGCCATCTAGTTACCCAACCTCTTGGGGTCCTTCCACACAGCCCTATATCCCAGAATATCAAGGCAGAAAATCCCACATTATCTGAGTGTGGATGCACATAACCCAGTTCAAAGCAGATATTGTGGGATTTTCTGCCTTGATATTCTGGGATATAGGGCTGTGTGGAGGAGCTCTTGGTCAGTGAATTTGATACAGGACCAGGCAGGATTTATGATCTTCTTTACTGGAAATCTTAGAAAAGGGGAGTCATAAAACTGTAAACTGCCTTGAATTTCATTCTGGAGGAAAGAAAGACTATAAATCCAAACAAACAAACAAAAAGCAATTCAATAAATAAATAATCACAATCCTCTGTAGTCTTCATTGGGAATGTTGTTACTGCATGCCTTTCAGATGTTTTTGAGTTATAGCGGTCTTAAGACAAACGTATCATTGGTCTTTCTTGGCAAGATTTGTCCAGAAGGGCTTTCCATTGACTTTCTCTGAAGGCCCTTCCACACAGCCCTATATCCCAGGATATCAAGGCAGAAAATCGCACATTATCTGAGTGTGGACTCAGGGCGGTTCCAGACAGGTCTTTATCCCAAGAGCATCCACATTCCTGGGGGGCCATCTACACACATACCAGAAAGCACACACTTTCTGGGGTGGGTGTCCAAATGCTTGCTGGGGTTTCCAGCAGGGCACCTGGATAGAACATAAAACCCCATTAAAAAGCCTTTTTCAAAAGCAAAATAACTCACCAGGCCTCCATTTTCCCCTTTTCAACCCTCTCCTTGTTTGTCCAATGAAGGACCTAGAAAAGGGGCCAGGAGCGATTTTTCTCCTCTCTAGGTCCGTCATTGGTACGCCCCAGGAGAGGGCCAAAGAAGCAAAAATGGAGGCCTGGTGAGTTATTTTGCTTTTTAAAAAGGCTTTTAAGAAGGGGAGTGAGGTGGGGGCTGTCTTGGGTTTCTTGGGCTACAGCAGCCTGCTTGCGATTCCACCTGCGTTGCAGGTGCGTTTGGTGGGGATGCGGGACAGAGCCTTTTCTGTGGTAGCCCCCCGACTTTGGAACACCCTCCCCAAAGACATCAGACAAGCCCCTACATTGGCAGTCTTTAGGAAGAGCTTGAAGACCTGGCTGTTCCGATGTGCCTTTCCAGAATAGGAACTCCAGCAAAATGTCCCAGAAGCACTTTATCAGAGTTTTAAGATTGTCTGCACACTGCACTTACCCTAAATTCCGACATACCACCTGTCACACCCATCACTTTTTAATATGTACCCATCACATTTGGCCCAGCCCTAGTTTTATTGTGTCATGTTGTATTGTTTTTATTGTTTACTGCTATTGTTTTATTGTTTTATTTGCTTTAA